CTCTCTCTCTCTTCTCTCTCCTCTCTCTCTCTCCTCTTCTCTCTCCTCTCTCTCTCCTCTCTCTCTCTCTCTCTCTCTCTCTCTCTTCTCCTCTCTCTCTCTCAGCCGACCCTCTGGTGGGAAAGCATCGCCACACAGTACCTGACCGCACCAACAGAACAGAGCATGACAGAATAGCCAAACAATGGACGAAGAGATACGCCACGCAATCGATCCCCGCCGGCGACCCAGCCCCTCCTTTACGCTCCCCTCGCCTTCACTGTATCTCTCTACTCTCGCTGAGGAAGAATATGTAAGATACTGTTTAGTATAGTCACTCGCCCGATGCGCAGTAACACACACACACACATGTGTATCTCCTGTAAACAGAGACGACATTTGTTGTCATTTATCGATTGAAAAATTATCATTTCTTTTGGATCAATTGTTAATCGATGCCCAAAAGGCAGTGTGTTGGCTAAATGCAACACTGGTTTAGGCTTACAGTTGGTGCCGATGAATAATAACATACATCTATTTTTATTCTATTTTTTAAACACACATATCTGAACGACTACTGAAATCGGCCATAGGCAATTTTCAGGCGTCAGGCGTTAAAATCAATATCTGGAAGGAAAAACTGGAATTGAAACATCTCTAATTAGGTCTGATGTCCATCACATTCGGGGTGGGTCTGGCTGTGTGTGAATTTACACACTGTATGAAAAACGTACCCAGATATCCAGATACAGACTGCATGTGAATGGGGTCAAACATATTGGATGGCTGTTTGAATATCTGGCATTCAGAGTGGGTGTAACACTAATTTACACCTGGTATCAACAGGCAGTCTGTGAACTGATCTACGGCTGCACCATATGGTAAAAATAAATCTTATTGCAGACAGATACTGCGATCGATTAGTGGGAATGATCATTTTTCCATCACAATTTACATTTTAACTATTAATAACATGATAATGTGATATGTGTTTGGGTCTGTACCAAACACATCTTATATCAGGAGAAGATTTATAGGCATCTCTGCAGCACTGCTACTTCATTATAATGCTATTTTATCACACATTTTACCTGCTCATGTTACAATTTTGCTAATATTAGATTAAACTACATTGGCTGATCAACTGTAGGTTGTTAAAACTGTAAAGGAGTTCTTCCTGGGAGACAGATGGAGAATTAATTGTGTTACGGTGTGGCGACCTTCAGCAGACTTTGATTGCACCGTCTCAAATTCAGCTGTATCAATAACCAGTTAATCATGTTAAAAAGCAAAACACAACCCCTGCAGGACAAAGACTGTGTAGAGACTGAGGCAGAGGAGTTGTGGAAAGAGCTAAAATTGCTATAAAATTACTATCGCAAGTTAATTACCTGTACTTGGCTGGCTTCCATTATGCGCACGTATATTATATTCAACTCAAAATTGTGAAACAGCACAAAATTGCCATCTCACATCTTGACCCAATTATTCCTTCGACGGGTCCTGAATTTTCTTTTACGCTCACTCCCCTTCCACCTATTTCACTTTATTATGTCAGGCGGTGCTTTAAGAGACTGAGCAGAATTTATCAGTAGGGTTTTTTATTATAGTACCTTACATGTTAGTCTTTTTATTCACTCACTGAGGAGCTCCTCACTAAGCAGCTCATTTGCTCTTTTCTCCTGTGAAAATGTGGTTTTATTATTTACTTAAGGCCACTGGCTGTGCCAACGATCTGTCAGTGTGAGACGGCCTTGGGAAACAATGAGAGTTGAATTGGTCAAGGCTTACTAAATCCACCATTAACAGTCGGGGAAACACAATTTTGACAGCGTGTCAACTTGAAATTCAGCCTTGGATTAAAAAAATTAAAATAAACATTCAAAAGAGGAAAAAGAAACTCAAATATAATCTTTTAACACAGAACGACTGCTTGGTGGATAAAGAAAGCTCTTCAAGGCACTCACCTCACACAAAAGCCTCATAATAAATACCTGAAATCAGCGTTCATTGAGGTGTTGATCTCACCTGGGTTGCAGTCAGTGAGCAGGGAGCAGATGGACAGTAGGACCTTGGAGATGGTGAGGGCAGGGCTCCAGTTGTCCTTCAGGATGTCCAGACAGATCACCCCCTGACTGTTGATGTTGCAGTGATAGATCCTCGTACGAAACGTCACCTGCAGACACAGAAACACCACACCTCTGAAAATAAGTAGTAAGGAAACAGAATGTCCTCGCATGATGAACATAAGAAAAAAAAACAGACAAGCTGGTGGAGTGAAGACACGTAAAGAACGAATAAGAAAAGCTGTGAATTTGTAATTATTGTTGTTTACTCATCATTTTACTGGAGCTCTTAACTTAAAGAGAATACTGGACTGAATAAATCATTTATATGCCAATAAACACTTAAAACAACCGGGAAACAACTAAAATAAAAAGGTCAAAGGGTCAATTAGGAATTCTTAGGATGATTTTTTGACATTTTAGAAATGACTTGCAGAAAGTTGGATCAGAAGATCAATACCACTGATCAATATTAAGCTAAAGTCAGCAGGCGATTAGCGTAACACTATCCTCTCCAAAGGTCAAAAATCTGTTAAATAGGTGAGCTGTAGAGCTGCTGGCAGGCAGATTGTGTCACCTTAGAGCCGGCGAGCTGTTTCACCCTGCTTCTTTATGCTAAGCTAATGTATCTTAACATTCCACAGACTGAGAGTAACATTAGTCTTCTCATCTAACTTTAGGCAAGAAAGGGAATAAGAGTTTCTCCTATGTTGAACTATTCCTTTAAGACGGATATAAAACGATGGATGAAGTCACATTGAGCTGCTGTTGTCAATGGCAACGCTAACCTCTGATGTCATTTTCCATTAAAAGTGACCACAAAGTCGTTGCAGTCAAAGTTAATGTGACCAAACATTAAACGCAGCATACTGACCTTCAGTAACAGACCATTGTTTCATTGTTTCAGTTTATTTTAATAAAACAATCTATTACACTGCGACACTGCCAAGGATTTATTACCACTAAATAATTTCAATCAGGGTTAAATGATTAGTTTCCCATTTTCTCACACAGAGCTGAACAGAAACTGCACTTTAATCTGTTAACACAGTAAAATAACTTCTCGTTTAAACGCCTTATTTATTGCATTTTATAAGCAGAAATATCTTCCAGTGGAGCAAATCCCAGTTAACTCTTACAAATGACACAAATCAAGAGACACATGATATAATCATTAAGTATAACGATTAAAAGTGATTTACTTATTAATTTATTTGTCAAACGACATGAAAAGAAAATTCATCTGCAACAGATCTGATTCAAAATTAATTGTTTAACTTAAAAATCTACCTCCAGATTCTTTTATTTTAATTCATGTATTATTATTTAAAGTGAATGTTTTGGACACTTGGTCAGACAAAGTTATCTGAATATGTCAACTTGTGCTCTGGGGAATTGTTGAATTGAAAATAACCAGCAGATTAGTCGCAGCCCTAATTCAATTCTAGTTTGACGAATGACATCTATTTATCTCATTTATCTCATTTTATGCAGGAAATCTTTCATGTTGATCTCACAGCAGCTCCACTTGAGCAACTGAGGGTGTCTGTCTCACCACAAAAATTCAGTAATAATCAGTAATACTAGAGCTGCAACTAATGATAGTTGCGACTATAAATTAATCTGAGATTATTTTCCCAAATAGTACATTCATTAAAGGGTATATAAATAATTAATATATCATTATTTCTTCCATAGCTCCAGTTACAGGTTTTACATTTCTTTAAACCTCCAAAATATTCAGTAATGGAAGACTAAGAAAATTTGAGAATCTGGTAAATTTTGGCATTTTTGCCAAAAATAAAGACTCAATTGATAATCAGAATGGTTGCAACTAATCATTTCAGCTCTAGTTTAGACCACAAGGAACATGCTAACAGCAGAGTTTCACTAAGAGAAAGCTGTACACGAAGAACAGCAGCAGAGTTTTGGCTTCAACCAACTTATACTTCGTCTGTGAAACCACCATCTGAACCCTAATGTCCATTTAATATCATCTTTCAAAAGTGTGCTTGTGAAGTTACAGCAACTAACGATGATTAAACAGAATAACTGGGTTTTAATTAATTCCATAACTGCTGCAACACCTCAGCAGTGTGACTACGGAAAACACTGAAGACAAAAGACAGGAGTTAAGAGTTAAGAAGAGAGCCAACAATGATCTGTTAAAACCTGAAAAAGAGCTCGTCAGCAGTAGAAATGTGGATAACGTGAGACTCGGGGAAGCCTCCAGGAGATTAAACCCTTAAAGAGAGACAATCTGCGGCGCAGTCTGTCAGGTTGAGAAGCTTGTTATAACTGGGAGTAATAATAGGTGAGACAGAGGACAGTTAAAAGTTGCTGTGGGCCTTTCACCTCCTTCTTCTCTTTTATTCACATTAACACCGATGTATCAGCATCAGTACCAGTATAATGGCTCTGCTTGATTGCTCCACTGAGGGCCATTTAACACCATTTGTCACCGCTGCTGGATGAGCATGTGGCCACAAATATACAGTACATCTAAAAAAGGATGGTATTTTATTGAAGCCAGTCAGCCATTTATTATTCAGGCTTTTTTTTTAATGGTGGCTTTAAAACCGTTTTTACTCCATCTAGTCAGAGAGAAACACCTCTTATAGCAGTTCTCATGATGTTTTACTGAATCACACTGACCAACAGAGGGCAGCATGGTGTAAAATCAAAAGCACAACAACAAACAAAACAGTTTTGTTGTCACTTTGAAAGCTGGACTCCAGCCACCCAAGTGTAAATGAATCCCTTTACTTGTCACAGTGAACAGCCCGGAACATGAGCCACAACATGTAGGCAGATGCTACCTCGAGTTACGCTGAAAACTGTGCTCATCTTAAAAGCAGCCTCAACAAGCAAACAACCGACCTACAGCTGTTTATAGAGTCTGTCTCGGCTTGGATGTGAGCTTGACATCTGTTTGGAGCAGCGGGACAAACAGTGGTGTCAAGTGTCAGGACCAATCACTAACATCTGGCCCTCCTGACCCTGACCCTCCAGAGGAAACCTCTAATGAGCCTTGGCATTCCCAGAAAAAAATAAAAATCACACAGGGCAGGACGTTATAAATAACCAGCCCCCCTACTGCAGACACTGTGCTCCTCTCCTGGCCCGAGTTCAGAGAGGGAAACGTATCCACCTGGCCAACTTGTAGTCTCTTGTTTCTGTTTTAGAGATTTTTACAAGCGAGTCAGGTTCTCGATGCAAAATTCCCAAGCCTGAGGTCTGAGTGCATTCAGTGACTGAGCTCCACTGGAGCATTTCTATAGTGAGGGAGTGTATGGCAGCTACAGGCCGAAGGGTTTGCTGTGAGTGAGTGAGTGTGTGTGTGTGCAGTGGGGGGGGGTTTGGCTGCAGATCACAGTGTCGGAGGGGTAGGAAGTATTGGAGGGGGGCGGAAACACTCAAGTCCCTCTGGCAACAGAAAGCTGGGCCGGAGCCTGTGGATTTGTTTGAGTCTGCTGTCAAACACAGAGCTGGTGGTTACACAGCACAAAGGACGAGAAAGAGGGAAAAGAGGGCGAGCGATTGCGTGGGGAGGGGTGTGCATAACAGAGAGGAGAGAAAATCAAGGCCAAGTGAAAGGGTAATGGGGTGCGCTCGCAAAACCAAAGGGAGATTGGCCCGACGGTCTGCGTGTTCAATAACGACATCCACTCAAAGTCCTTAAAAGTACTCTGCAGACCGAACATAAAACGAGAGGAGGAGTTCCTCAGAGGCAGAGTGCTGAACAGGTCAGGATTTGGGATGACCCAGATTTTCAGCAACGATTCTTCATAAAAACAAAAAGTGCAAACCAAGCTGTAAAGACGCTGCAGCACTGGCTCTCAACCACCACCGCGGCACCGGGTTGATCTAATGTGCTCTACTGTCTGATAATTTACTGCTACTCCATTTTTATCACATTACGCTGTCGTCAACATGCATAAAAGTCACACCGCATGAATCCACCTCTACGTTCAGCAGAGGATCCCAACCCCCCCAGCCTGTGGACTAGTACTGGACCACAGGATATTTGCTATTGGGCTGCAGTGAAGCAATACGATTGGCAAAAAATAAAGACTTTATTGTCTATTGCAGGCTATTTTGTGGGAATTACCTCGAGCTTAGCACAATCAGTCTGTGCAGCACTTTCCTCATCACTTCCTGACACACCCCTAAAAACAACATACTGCTCTCTCTCTCTCTCTTTCATTTTCTAACTCATATCAAGGTTTATTTGTGCGTTGGGAGGATAATTAGAGAGATACGTGGACCTCAACTTACATGTGATCAAGCACACACACAAACAAAAGACCCTGTGTTAGAACTTCATCTTCCACTTTGCTGCTCTCCTGTCACACCGCGACCCCATCAACCACTCCACAAGGACATTATCGATATAAAAACAGGAGGCTGGAGCCTTATCCAGTGGAGGCAGGGCCATGAGACGTGACTCCAAATGAATACTAATGTTGCTCTGCTGGATAACGACAGTCCACATACCCGTACCCATCTGCAGGCCTCACATGTCAAACCTCTTCCCAGATCATTAAAATGACCCACGTATATTCTCTCCACACTTTTCCGGGTCCTGTGCAGAAAACGTGATACTCAAACATTCACATTGCTTCAACAGTTACGTCTACCGGCTGCTGACCTTGGGGGGTTTGAATGGGTAGTCTGGCGTGAAGGCGATGTCCAAGAAGAAGACGCCTCCCTCATACACGGAGCCCGGGGGTCCCAGGATGGTCGACCTCCACTCGTAGATGTTGTCTCCTTTGGGGCCAGCGCTAGAAAATTGAAACAAAAGATGTGTTAATATGTTAATCAGCACAGCGCATTAGAATAGACAGCCTGGTGTTCAAACTGCCGGCGGGCTGACAGAGATTTGGGGGGGAAAGAGCAGCTCAGGCGGTAAATGCTAGCTTCTGACAAGTTAATGATGGAGATTTGGGGAATGCTGAAGCCGTGGAGGTTTGAGGGTTTTTAGTTCAAGGCTATTTTAGTAGGATTTAGATTATCTTTCAAATTTTTTGATTACCTGAGATGAGATTACCTGCTGTTGGGAGTTGCACTGACACACACCAATGAACCAGTTTAAGCACGTGTTCAGTCAAAACTAAAGAGTGAAAGAAATTTTTTACATAATAAGAACAGGGATAAACAAACAGTAAGAAAATGATTTCTTATTCCAGCCAGTCTTTTTTTTTTTTTTTCACGAGATGAGTATTTATGCTGAGTGGAGGCTGAAGGTCACATCTGTTGTGTAGGCCTAGTAATTAATGCCATTTCCATATTACAGGCTCCTTCCCCCACTGTTGTTTGTGGTAAGACCCTGAGCTGGCACACAGCCAGGAAGAGACCGGGACAATGTCCAGATCACAAAGCCCGAGACAAAGAACAATACCTCCAATTTCATGTAATTACCAGGGATGGTGTTTAACGCCAACCCTTAGCTGCTGGCAGATGTGCTCCCAAATGCATGTACACACACTCAGGGTTCGCTTCCACTCAAGGCTGCTGTCTCACTGTATTACTGTTCACTTTTTATTTACACATAAGCCAATAATCTCAGACAGAGATTTTCCTGAGCAATAACCTCAAACAGCAAACCGTTAAAAGCAGCATCTGGCTCTAAGCGTTCCCTTGAAAATAGATCATTCTCCATAAATAGAAATTACACATTGAACATTTCCTTCCTCTTTCAGTGTCAACACATGCAAATCTCCACTAATCTACTTCGCCACTCTTTCACTCTGCCCCTCTCTTCAGCCTTCTTTAATTAGCTAATTATGATTACTTCTTCTCTGGGGAATGACTCCAAAATACTCTGTCGATAAAGACTTCACCAATCTGGACCTTTTTTTTGTGTGTAGGAGTGAAAATACAATACCAAAAGCAAAGAATGTGCAGGGATCATGATGGACACATTCAACCCTTTGTATTTTTTGTCAACCTCATTCTGGTAAAATGCAGTAATTAATAATAATTGCGCTTGCTGTACAAAGTAGTGGTTGACCGATATGGGTTGTTTAATGGCTGATGCAGATATTTAGAGAGGAGGGTTGCAGATGGCCGATAAATAATGCCAATATCAAAACAAAGAATAGTCAGGAATTACAGTTAGGGATGGGGATCGTTAATATTTATTGATATCGATACCTTTATCGATACTCCTTATCGATCCCGAGTCATTTATCGATTTACCACTATCCGATACTTTATCATATTTGCGTTGGTACAAGATCTAGCAACAATATGGGTTTTAACAGAACTGGTAATTGCTTTTATTCCTTACAACAACGGTGAGCATTAACAAAACTTTTCTAGCTTCAATAACATTGGACTAATGTAATAGGCCACTTCGAAATGACATAAAAACTAAAATAGAAAGGAATATATCAGCAGCCACCAAATTGAAAAATATTAAATTTACTGAGCCAACCCTGAACACCATCATCACGCAGCCACGTTCTGAAACTTTATTTACTTTTCAAGCCTAACTAGCTTGTATGCTGCCGTTACAACACGATTTTCAGCAATTACTATTTTAACTAACGGACAACTACAGGGAGTCTGTGTGTGCCGCTGCGCTGGCTACTTTGGAAGTGGATGATGAAGGACGGGGCCCGTCTGTGGTGCGGCGCAGCAGCAGGCAGGAGGAGACCCGGAGTACAGTCGAAGCGGTACTGCATTTGGCCTTTATTTGAGGCACAATGCTAATGTGCATTGCCATTTGAAGGTTGTGTTCCCCACTTTACAAGAAATGATTTTGCCAAACATAAGGTTGCATTTCGGCTTCCTCTTTATCTTTGAGCTTGGTAAAATGAAGCCAAACCTTTCGGCCGCTTCAGCATCCTGCGAAGGTTAACTGCCAGACTTCACTTGTTTACTTTTAATACCTGTTTGCTTGCAATTCAATTTCATTCAAAACATTGGTGGACACGCTGCAGTGATTGGATTGATTAGATTTAAATGCTGTGACGCGACTCGAGGAACACAATTTACGTTACAGGACCTCCGGGGAGGAAAAAAAAACAAGACAACTAATAAGTTGTATCGATAAGCCAAACGTTCTTGATTTTTCGGGTTTTGAAAAAAGTGGAACCGGGTCCTTGATAGATTCGATCCCCATCCCTAATTACAGTACAGGCTTTGAGTCAGTAGTTATCACTTATCGGCCTCGTGAGCAAAGACATCATCGATTAATCAGTCTGTCACTCGTACAAAGAACACAGCTGTCAAATAAGGTGTTGAAGAACACATTAAACATGTAAGGGAGATTGATTTTCATTGATTTCATTTGTTTTACAAGCGATGACCATATAAGCTGACACTGCAGCAGTTTGTTTCTCGTCCAAACAAACTGTGCTGCACTTTGGTCAGACAGAGAGAGCAATATGTGAACGAACCACAGGAAATGACTTCAAAATACGAGGATTTATAGGCACACAGAGACAGATGTTGACATCTGATAGCCAGCAGTTACTTGTGCTTGGAAAGCCTGTCATAACAATATAAAGTGAGGGCAAACCACAGTATGAACTGGTGGTCAAATTTAGCTGTTCCTACATTCTTCTGTTGTGTTATTTAACAGAAGTTAAATTAGAGCAGAGGAATTCAATATTTCCATCGTGGAATTGGGTGAGTTTGAGGATGTCAGGTTGCCAAAACTGTTCAATAAATGACCCACTTGAAGGGCTGTCTCTGACACAGGAGTTCTTCGACTAACTCATTAATCTGTCCAATTGATTCTTCAATATTTGTACTCTGCAGATGAACGCAGTCATGCAAAAGGATGCCCTTGAGATCTGGTGCCTATCAGAGCCATAGATGTGACTACTTTTCTGTACTTACTGAATTACCCAAATCTGCATAAAAAAAACAAATCAAGACTCGTTAGTTGACCAAAGAGTCTTGATTTGACTCCCAAAGATTGTGTTCAGAATGACTTCAGCCCTGTGGTAAATGACCAAACAAAAACACAGCCCATCAATCTGAATGCAACCAGTCCAGTGACACACTGGGGGTTCACATGCAGCAACAAAAACCATCGAGCAAGGATGTCCGGCAAAAAAGTCCCTGGTTAAACGTATTCCTCGCGATCATTGGGACCGAAGATAAAAAAGTTGCTGCTGTGCTAACTTTCCAGAGATTGTGTCTCTGAGTATTAGAGAACCTTCAAATTCTTGGATCTAAACTGGACTTTCTGGATCATACTTCCTGTCTCCCCGGGACCTGAAGCAACACACCAACACAGCTCCTCATGCATTTTCAGTCTGAATTCCCAAACAGGAAATGCAGCCTTCGGGCATGTGCTTCAATCCGACAAGCACGATCACTGCAGGCAGTGACTGGGCAGGTGAGGAGGGAGGCTGGGATTTAACTCCTCTCTCAAACTCTCTTTTCTTCATTCTTTAAAAAATGACTTACTTGGCACTTTCTGTACCTACCAATGAGCACCACTCTATGAATGCCTTAGAGGAAAGATTGTTTCTTATTAGAATGAGTATCGGCCCTCTCTGTGTGGCCACCAAGAACAACTAGAAACACTTCAGATGTGGTTGGATGACACATTGTAAGCGTAGACCCACCTTCACTTGTGAGTCTGTATAACTTTTGACTACAAGTCCTGTTTGACGTGTAGTTCAGTGATGTGAACCTGACCGATTAATAGAAACATCTTTTCACATGTGGCAGATGATCGTTGTGGCCACTCTCCCGACTCTTAAGATTACTTTCTACATTTTCTGCTGTCGACAGAACCACACAGACAGCTTATTTTCCCTGATCTTTCCTTTATGAAACTTACAGCTTACATTTCTATGCTACACACACCTCAGGGTAACACTTCCATTACCGCCACGCTATTCAGAAGCTTTCCCCGTCGGCGCGGTGAAAGAGACAGCCGACTATTCCATTTCCAAACATCGCCAATAGAAGCAGCTGCTCACTTCCTTTGAGGCTGATGGGTTTGTCGCGGTGATAATAACTTAGACATGATGGAAAGATAGAGATGAGCGGGCATGGCAGAGGTCCCTCGGATCAGCAGCGAGATTGCTGTAGGGGATCTGACAACCACACAAGGGCTGTGGATAAAGGCTAAGTCAATAGCTGAATGTGCATGCCACCGCTGGCTGTTGCTCGGAGACCTCCTCCCCCCACCGGCTTGGGCGTTCCTGTGGTGCTTTGTTGCAGCTGGTTGAGGGCCAGCTCTTTCAGGATCTGACAGTCTCTCACTTGGCCATTAGTTTTGGGAGAGGTAAGCGGTGTGGCCGTCGCAAGAAGCTCAAGTTGAGTCGCGTCAGTACGCGGCGTTTGTAGCATCAGTGAGCGTTTGCATGAGCATCCAATTCACTTTAATTAATGCAGTTAATGTCATGAGTTAAATGGCTGATGGTTCCTTGACCCTGGTTAATGCAGAATATTATGCTCAACTGGCATATTCAATTGAGTGATAATTGGGTAATCGAGGCATTATATAAACGTTAAGTGCAGCTTGAAACCAACAGACTCGTATCTTTATATGTCAGGTTCATGTCTCGTCATGCACAGCCGCAAAGTGCTTTAAAAAATCTGTATCACTGAATCAGTGTGAAGTCAACGTGGACATTAAAAAGAACAAGACAACAATAACGTAACACCAAGACCTGAAACTGAGAGCGATAGTCAGATAAATACTACATTTCTTTCTCTCTCTCTCGATGGAAAAACAATCCTTTCCTCAAGCAGACAGATCTGCTCAGCATAAATACATGACGTTAACTGGTGTAACAGTGCTGCTTATGGG